CCCTCCCACTCCCTCCCCCCCTACGGCGGCGGCGGCGGCTGGACGGGGCGGCCCCACGCGTGGGCGCCTCTCTCTCGGGTGGATGCCCGGGGTGCCCACGCGTGGGACCGCCTCGTCCAGCCGCCCTGGCGATGTCTCCCCCCTCCCCGCCGCCCTTGCCGTCGGGGACCCCCTCCGTCCTCCCCTCCCCACGAAGCGTGTGACATTCCCCATCAGACACACCAGTTTGGAGGGAGCCAAAGCATTGAAACCTCCTTTTTTTAAAAAAAAAAACCTCTATTTTATTCCCGCTTTTCTCTCTCTCTTTTTTTTTCTTTTTTTTCTTTTTAAATCTGAAAAGCCCCCAAATAGGCTCCATGTGGTTCTGGGTAAAGTCAGCGCCTGGCTTGGCTTTGAAATCGCTTCTGCAATTATGTAAAAGAGCCATTCAGCAACACGGGCGGAATTAAAAAGCGAGCGAGACTGCTCCCTTTTCTCCGGCGAGCCTCTCACTTTTTAAATCTGAAAAGCCCCCAAATAGGCTCCATGTGGTTCTGGGTAAAGTCAGCGCCTGGCTTGGCTTTGAAATCGCTTCTGCAATTATGTAAAAGAGCCATTCAGCAACACGGGCGGAATTAAAAAGCGAGCGAGACTGCTCCCTTTTCTCCGGCGAGCCTCTCATGTTGGCCGGCTCAAAGGCTTTCCAACGCGACGTCGTGGCCGAGGACAAAAGGCGGACCACAAAAAAAAAAAGGGGGGGAAAGGAGGGGAAATAAATGAAAAAAGCCCCCAAACTTGTAAATTGAACGTCCAGGGAACTTCGCGCGATTTCAAAGGTCATAAATAATGATAAAGGGACCAGGCGAAGAGGCAAACCCAGGCAATTAATGGAAGTTCCCAAGTAAAGATCGAGTGGTTTAGAAAATAAAATTAAATGCAAAAAAAAAAAAATAGAGAGAGAAGGAGGGGGATATCCAGCGGGAAGGATCCTCCCTCCTTTGGGATCCCCTCCTGCCCGCCCTTGCGAAAGTCATGGCCTTCCTGGGCCGAAAGGGCTTGTTTTCGTGATGCTCCTGGGTGAAGCCAGGACCAAATCCCGACCTCGTGCTGCGGGGGGAAAAAAACACGCTGCTGCCTCGCCAGCAAACATCTGAAACCTTGGCAGAAACGATGAGAGTTTTACAGCTTTTTGGGCCTCCGGGCAGTTGGCGGCCTCCAGTTGGACAAGTTTGGAGGGCGATCACAGCATCTGCTGGTGGTGGTGGCGGTGGTGGTGGTGGGGACGACGTGCCCGCTCCCGGGGCCTGTCTCCAACTTCGAGGCACTTGGAAAATTTTACTTGCGCTGCTCGTTTCCATATGTCCCGGCTCTGTACGGTGGAGGCCACCATGTGAGGAGCAGCCCAGTGCCCGCCGTGGCGTTGTCCTCTCGTCCCACCCCACCTCACCGCCCAGTGCACCGACTGCTGCTCCTAAAAGCAGCCACAGCGAGGAACGAACCCGCCCGGTGAGAAGTGAATTCCTCTGACCGCGTCTCTGCTTAAAAAGGAGGAGGGCAAAGAAAAAAAAAAGGGAAAAAAACAGAAAAAGAAAGAAACAAAAAAGCCCTCCTTTCAGGAACCTGCGTGAGATGGTGGAAACGGGAGCGAATTCGGCACGGTAATCCGTCAGGGCATGGAAATGTATACCAGCACCCAGCTCCCGCAGCTGTTTTTTTTTTTTTAATTGTCAGCCCCTCTTCAAAATTTGCCTGCAAACAAGTGCCTTTGCAAGACGGGAGAATTATTTCAGGCGAGAATAGGCTTTTTGTTTGGCACATAATTAGCTGATTTTTTTGTTTTTTTGTTTTGTTTTATTTTTTTTGTCTCCCCTCTCCGGAGAAAAACGCCCGCGATTTCCGATTGTTGGCGAAGCCAGCGGAGCGTGATTGCGCCTGGGAAGTGTAACAGGCGGGAGGGAGGCCCCACTGCTTCCCCAAGTGGGCTGGGGCGGGGGGAACAAAGGGATATTTTGGATCATCGAGGAGGAGGTGGGGGGGGCACCCAGAGCCCCCCCTCCCTGGGCAGCGTGGTGGGAGCACGCGGGCCCCGTGCCGTAAATCCCTCTCGCCCGAACGAGCGTCCCGTCGAGAAGAAACCTGGCAGAGAGACAGGGAGCCCGTCACTCTTCTGGTCCCCGCGGGCCCCTTGCA